TTTCCCTGGTGAAAACATCACATTTTCCTTATATCTGTCGCCTTTTAAGGTTATCTTAAATAATCTTATTCAGTTGTATTCAATTAAGACATACATCTATTACAGCAATAAAGCACCTAGCTTTGCTATGGTGAATTGGATATTTCTTTACATCTGATCCGTCTTGCAGGAATATTTGCCTGTTTTATTAAGTCCATATTTTCCTTCAATATGGAGAAGGCATATTGTATTAATATGGGTAAAAGAGGAAGGAGTTCCTTGAGTGGTTAAATGTTGCATGTGTCAGTGGGTCTGTGACATAGACAGAGTGGGTCTGTGAGATACTGTTTCCTTGCCTGTCCCTTGCTGTCAGCTCAGACCAAAGTGAAATAAACTCAAGAGCTGTCTGCCTTTTAGCTACTATCAGTACATTCGACTAGTATCTGAGCTGTCCCATCTCTTTCAGGGTCTTATATGTTCCTCCAGCATGGCAATATAATCTGTGGTTTTTATTTTAACTACTTAACCTTTCTTCAGCCTGCGCTTCCTCATTTCCTGTAAGCAGACAAAGTGAATCTGCAGATAACTGACACGTGTCCTTTTCTTCATTTCTTTCCTAGGACTTTTAGGCTGTAGTTGTTTCGTCAAGGTAAACAAAACATCAGCATCTTCACACAGCTCTAAAACTAATCTCAAGGCAGGTAGATAACTGAATTTTCTCAGGGAATCCTGACTCTGTTTCTGACAGGAGTCTCTGTTCAGACTGAATCCTTCCTCATTATTTACTTTGGACATTTAGTGGTGGTGGTCTTGTGTAGTACTGTTAAGATTCCCTGAGGTTTAAAAAAGCTTCATTTGTTAGCAGGAAGTGGTATATGAAATGGCATTCTTTAGAGAAATCTCTTTTTTTTTTTCTTGCAAAATGAAAACTGCTCATTTAAAGCTTAAGAAGGCATCATAAGGTGGCGGGGGGAGGGAGCAGGACTTAAAGAAGTTTGAAGTGTATAAAATGCTCCCAGCCTCCTCCTCTGAGAATTTATTCAGCACTTGTTAATTGAAAACCCCTGTCATGAGCAGAGGTCTGCCACTTGTCATGTATATGAAATACTGCAGATATTTCCAAAGTTATAAATTCCTTCGTTGGCCATGTTGTGTGTTGATCAGCCTAGGAACATCGAACACGTAACAAGCAAAACTTGCTGAGATCGTTTTTTTTTTTTTCTCCACGGTAACTGAGCCATATGGCAAAACTACTGTAGCACAGGGAGGGAGGAACAAACATTTCTAAAAGGAATGTTCAAGAAAATGTCTTGATATTAAGAAATATGCGATTGAGAAAATACTGTGCATTAATTGCAAAAGTCAATAAATCATGTGTTTAGACCAATGAATAGGGAATAAGGTTTGTAGTTTTTGTTTTTCACTGTCCTGATGGTGCAGTGTATGAAGTAGGTACGTCACATAACAAGAACTTTTTAAAATGGTAGAAGCCTTGAACAAAGCACAAGAGATACTTCTGTATTTGCAACCTGTAGCATGAGCACTACAATCCTACAGAAATATTTTAATTTCGTATAAATTATTGTTTATACTATTTCAAGGGCATTTGTGTATGTGCTTTGCAAACACAGTAATCAGATCCAGATAAGCTCAGCTACTGCAAAGCTATTTGGCAAGCATACAACACAAAGATTTTCTAATGAAAATTTTCATTACTCCTCAGGGACATGTATGTGACTGTGTTGCACAAGATTACAGAATTCCGAAGGTCTGCGCTGTGCATGGATTAATAAACCTTTCCTCTTCTCTGTAAGGCTAGCCTACCTCAAACAGCTTTTTGCCAGGTTCAGTCTCAAACAGCTAAAGGTCCCTTTGAGCTATGTGACAAGGTTGCTGTGGGTTTAGCCAAAGATTCATGTTTTTATTGTATCATTCAAGCAGATTTAAAAATAGAATATCTTGGTGCAAATCACCCTTCCACCCTTCCACTTCAGTAGCCAAACAGATTTGTATATTGTACTGATCACTGGCATGCAGATTTTTGCATTGAAAGATATCCTGTGATGTTATATTTATTTTTATTTATCTTGGGGTGGTTTTATGTTTTTTACTCTATATTTTGTTTGCACAATCAATAAGGACACCAAGAATCGACTATTGATGTTTATTGAATTGTCATATCAAGTGAACACTTCTGGGAATCTGACCACAGAAAGGAAAAACATTTGTTTGAAAGGGTACAGATCAGAAATCCTTATCAGAAGAAAAGGATGTCTACTTGTTGCAATTATAAATACCTAAGAAGATGACAGCATGATTTCAAACAGGAGGACTGCAATGTGCATGCACCAGGATGGGATCCAGGACAGAGTGTACGTAGGGGAGGGTTCCCAACTTGTGGTTTAGCTGTTCTGGGATATATTGACCCTTTGTGCTGTGCAGACTCCTAAATGAAATGTGGTTTTGTGACAGTTCCAGCCCAACTCCTAAATGAAATGTGGTTTTGTGACCCGAAGTACGAAGTCAATCACGTGTTCTGTTCAGTTTGGACAAAGTCCTTACCTCTGTCTAGTGTGTGTTATCTGGATAGACTGTGGTACCCAGGGGGTATGTGTCTCATTAATGTATCATTTCGAAGTGAAAATCTATTGAGTTTCATTTTGAAATCACTGGCATATGTTCTTCTTTTCTCCTTCCTATTCATTGACTAATTTCACTGACGTGAGAGGAAATTATATAATTATTCTGCTTTATTAGTGTCTGAACAAATATTAAAGAGTCTGCTTTAGTCCTTTGGGAACAGAACCTTGGACACACATAGTGGGATCATCTTGAGGTCTAGTCCAACAAGTAACTGAGCACTCCTAACTTCCCAGCGCAAGGGAGAAGACCCTCAGCACTTGCCTAGCCCATTCAGATGGGATCTGCAGTTCCTTTAAGTGTGTGACAAAGCCATTAAGTTCAATGGGAACACTCACATACTTAAAGATAGGTGTAGCAGGTCAGGAGTGGGGAGATGAAAGGGGGTGAACAGATTTTTTTAGTGCTCTGGCAGTTCACTTCATCACATGTGCGTGTTTACTTTCTCATTCCTCTGCTTCACTCTCCCATGCTAATCCCCCTCCTGGGTGCTGACGTTTTTCTTCTACCCTGCTGACATCTTCCACTAAATCAAGCAATAAGCTGCCTTCATTGCAGCTGGAGGACTCCTGAAAGTCACAGGGGGCTGCATATTCTGGGTTTTTAGTATCCAAGTACCTTTTCCCAGGATGCTGGCGTTTCTCCACATGCTGGTCCCTTAGGTCTTGCTCATCATTCCAGCCTCTACTGCCAGGATGCTGAAGCTTATATGGCAGATACCTTTTGCCTGGGTGCTGTCTTTTGGATAACTCATTCAAGTAGGTTAGCTGTGCGCTCGGGGTGTCAGCGTGCTGGTCCCACAATGACCGTCTGCCAGGATGCTGTCGCTTTTTCAGCTCCAGGTAACGGGCAAGGCTGCCTTCTTCTTCTCTTTTCCCTGGATGCTGTCTCTTCTGAATGTCTCCATAAGATGATTCTTCCGCATCCTCTCTTTTCCCAGGATGCTGTCTCTTCTCCAGGTCACTTATATACCTCTTTCCAGGGTGTTGTCTTTTAGAAAGCCATTCTGGCAGAGGGGTGTTTGATTCTGTCCAAGGAAAAGAATAATGTAAATGAACTCACATGATCCTCACTGAGGAAGCTGAAATGTGAATTTGTGGAGTGCTGTGGTGCAGGAGCATATTCTTTTGCTCATCACACCCATTTAATTGCAATTACAATATCTGTGTAGCCTTGAATATAATCACTCTGGATATGAACACAGCTGTGGGAATTGTTGTGGTGCAGTTGTAGCAAGGATGGGTTGATATATTAGGAACTAGCAGCAAACAAAATGGGAAGAGATCCAGTGAGAAAGCCTAATGTGGTGAACATGACCTACACTCAGCATTCATGCAAAGGAGGAGGAAGGCTGTTTCGATGGGCACTTTGGGGCCAGTTGTTTTTTCTACTCTGAAATTGAGGCTCCCTGCTCCTTGGTGGCGACAGGCCCCTTTGCACTTCTTGCAGCCCCCTGTCTAATTTGCCTCCAGGGCTCTGGCTGGTGGGAGCAGAGTGTTTGCAGCCAGTTGGGAGGGACTGACACGAGAGCAGCCCCCGCATTCCCGGCCACGGCAAAGCCCTCCCCTAGCGGATGTAGAGGCCAGTGGGATGAGGTAGCAGATGGATGGGAACGCTCCCACCCCCTCTGAACAGCAGGGACAGGGTCCACAACTAGGGAATGTTTTCCATCTGTCCCGTTAGAGCTTTCCAGACAGGCAGGTTTTCTACGATAGCCTTCTACCTTCTTTCTATGCAGTAGCTGCTCAGTGATGCCAGAGCAGATCTCAAGGTGGAAGGTTTTAGAGAAGAAATCCCTTTTGAGAATTCTCCATGAATGGACTATAACAGACCTTATATCCTTCCCCTTCTCTTAATTATAATTAGAATAATACATAGAGAAACTTGGAACTAACTGCACTGGAGCTAATGATGCTCAGCCAAGAACTACTGCCAGCATCATGAGAGAGGTGTCCCCAGTGTTATATATACCTTTATTGATCTTTTCTTCCTCAGATTTCTTGAGGACAGACTGAAGGATGAGGCTTTCTGCCTCCCGCATGTTGTCATCCAGGGGCCTTTTCTCCACGTTGGTGCCTCCCCCTGGCAGCGGCTGCCCGCGGCGCAGGCAGTGGGTGCACAGGCTCAGGCAGAGGAGCAGCAGTGGCAGCGGGACAGACCGCATGGTGTGACCGGGCTCCCGCGGCTTCCCTGGGGCGGAGAAGCACAGGGAGGTGCAGCAAAATGAACCCACTAATAACAGCAGTATTTCCAGAAAAAGAGACATGGCGCTGCTGGTGGCGGCTGAGGTCTCTTAGGAAAGTCCCTCCTGATTTCTGTTACAGTGCTCTTGGTTTATCTCATGGTCTTTGAAGAAACTGTAAATTCTTCATGACTGAAACCAAGGACTATTTGTTCATTTTTCTGGCAGAATAAGAATTAACATTTTAAACACCTAACTTCATGACATACAGGTAATTCTGAGAATCAATTTAATCAGATATTTTGCCTGAGGCAAAAGTAATTTCCCTCTTTAAGCCTGTGTAATCATTGCTGCACATGAAGTGCACACACATATACATTTTAAAACCATGTTCACCGCATGATTCTGTTTGTTAAGGGTTCATATGAAAATGATATTAGGATTTGCAACACTTTTGTTCCATCTTCGGTTAAAACACAACTTTAACAGGCCATTAATTAAATGTGTATACCAATTTAAAGTAGCTTGTTGTCTCTCTGTGTCTGTATGCATTTGTCTATGTAGTAAGAGAGCTGTGCTCCGTTGGTCAGGAAGATTTCACAGAAACTTCCTGCATTGCTAAAGCATTTCACATTTCTTTTTAGAGACAAATATTAATAAGCATATCCTCTTTTACCATTTCCCTGTGTAACAAGTTTTCAATTTTTTCTAGTCAGCGATGGAGTTTCTAAGATATCTATCACTGATTTCTTTTACAGTAAGTGGAGGTTAGTTCAGCTGAATGTAATACATCTTTAATATTACTATAACAATCATTTAGCTTAATTACATCTCCAACATCTAAAAGAAATATACACTATTAGGAAGTTCTACCAATTTTTACATTAGAGAATGAGTTTATTATCTGTCTTATTGGCAGGTTTCTGTCACCCCGATAATGTCCTTGAAAACAGCCCCAAGAATATCACACAGGCTATTCTGCTCAAAGAAATCTTTAGAAAGAAAGTTAGAGTAGTCAGCCAAAAAGGAAATGATTTGGTTAATTACCTGCTTTGTAGTTTCCGATTTTTGCTTGATGCTTCTGCCAAGAGATTGTTCGGTCTTTAAAGCTGTTTGCGCATCTGAGCTTAAAATTTGCCCTTTCTGTGCTACAGACAAATGCAGTATCCAATCGAACTGCTGCTAAGTTCTCTTTGGGTGGCTTGTGTCCCCGTACTTATACCGTGCTGCCTCTGGATCCTTTATGCAAATGGCTGTGAGGTAATTTAGGTGATATGTTGCTTTGTGTGTGTACCTTTTTTTTTTTCTCTCTATTGATGTCAGAGGTCTGAGTTTGCACTTTAAAACGGTGCAGACCTCCTTGTGTTCATGCTGGACTCATAGACACTGCAATTTTTCCATTCTGTAGAGAGATAATGTTGAATTTTATGTAACACACAGCATAGAGAAAAGGTGTTATTTTTTCTGCTTAAAATAAGAAGCTTGTGCATCTTCTATTAAGCAAGCACTGTGGGATAAAGGCAAAAGGATAAGTAATTTATCAAGCTAAGGAAGGAAAACAATGAAAAAACTGTAATGGATTATGTTTAAACAAATTTGGACCTTAGGTTTTCTTTCTGAGTGATAGTAAATTTTTGGCTTACAATTCCATGTATTCATGTCATAGACTTCCATGAAAAATGTGCTAGAATACAGGGTGCACAGCATTAGATACTAAAAAGATAGTCATTTCTATAATCTTTGTAACTGGAAATAAGACTCCTTCTTTCTACTTGTCCATCTATTTGGATATTTAGTTATTTTTCCACAGTGCTACTCAAGACAGATCTTGCTGGGGTACAGATAAAGGGCTAGTGATTCTTTGCTAAGCTTAGTAATCCTGATGACAATATAGAGAGAGGACTAAATCCCAAGTAAAGATTGCTCACAGTGATTAAGTGATGCAGGATTCGGCTCATTTCTTTTGTTGTTATTACATGGAGGATGTCAGCCAAGTGAAGTCTTTTTTTTCTTTCCCTCTTACTCTCAGAGTGTCATAGACTCACTTGTGTGTCCTTCTCAAGTTAAAATTTGTCTTCAGCAGTAAGTAGTGGCAGAAACTAGCAACCTGTCAGCATGACTTGAAAACACCTTCCTCGATACAACAACACTGGCGTGAACCTTCTCTCTTTGCTGCTGTGTCACCTGGCAGTGCTGCGGCCTGAGCCGGCAGAGTATTGGAAAATGTCTATGTGAGTATTTTTACATCTTTCCCGGGACATCTTGCTCTGGTCATGGTAGAGACACATTACTGAAGCAAATTGGTCTTCTTCAGTATAGCCATCCCTTTGGCGAATATGAAGTGTAGAAGTTGCTACGGAAACTGCTCTTCTTTTATTGAACTATAGGGGGAAAAAAAAAAAGGTTGTGTGAAATTAATGCAGAGCTTGCCAGTGCATTTATTACCAGTTTTACTGAGAGCTGCTGAAAGTGCAACTAGTTTGTCCTATGTTTGTAATACAAAATTTGAGGAGTTCTTGGTCTTCTCTTCCCCATTCTGAAGGAAGGGTCCAACTAAGGTCTTTCATTGCTGAACTTGCAGGTTTTCCATTCATTTTCAGTAGTTAAGGAGTTAAAATCTAGAGAGGAAATGAATGTAACTCCTCTTCCGTAGCCTTTCTTTGCTTCAGCATTGAGTCTTGGCCTTGCTGCTACTGCTCTTCCCAGTTCAAACGCAGGTGGTGGAAAATGTGTTTCTGATGCAAGCTCTGAGGCCCTTTTTGGAGTGGCTGATAGTTAGAGCTGGGCAACTGAATTGGTCCAGGGAATCAGGTGAAATCATTGCAAGCTCTGACAGCTACTGATGAAGGTCACTTGAAGTATGACTTGAAAATGGTGAGGAGCGAAAGTAAAGATTCTGCTTTGAAACTTCTGGCATTTTAAGTTGCCATGTTCTTTTTCCAGGATCCCAGAAATAGCAGAACCATCTTGTCTAATTTTAAGCCTAAGATTTCTGTAGTTTTTGCAGTGTTGCAGTGTTTGCGAACACTGAAGCAATGATACTTGAACTCTTGAATTCCTTGAAACTAATAGGAACTCCTTTAAGGAAACTTCATATTTGGGAGATTAGATGTCCTGTCTTAAATAATGAGTAAGATGAGTATTGAATGAGATGAAGACATTAATTTCCGTGCAGAGAAATTCTTAGTAGAATTACTGAGTAAATTCCACGGGGAATGCACACAAATCCCCTCTCGTACTTCAATGAATAAAGGCCAGGAAGGTTATTATGTTAGAGGGAAGGGGATGTATCCCACATAGCATTAAACCTGTTGCTAAAAGAAGTATAAATAACATGTTGCTTATATCAGCTAAATTATTTTATAGTTTAATGAGGAGAAGAAACCAAAGCATCATGAAGTTAATCCTACATGTTGTTTTACTAACAGACTTTTCAATGCTAAACAACATATTATGGAGTCAGAACTTGACAGGCTTAATTGTATATTTAAGAGTCAGTCTAACTCACAATGTTCCTTCTGGGATAGTGGCAGTTCAGAATTAAATCTCTCAATGGATTCACTGTAATGTTTCTTTATTTTGTAATTATCTCCAAATGTTTATGCAGGGTAATCTCTATAGCTTTCCAGTCAAATGGGAACCCTATTATTTATGAAAAAAGTGGTCAACTTCAGAAAGAATGTCACTGTATCTTGTGTCTTATTCCAGCCACAAACCAAATAATGTCACCTAATGAAAACAAGCAAGACAGAGCCTAATGGCACCAACTATTGAAAACAACAGCTGCCCAGACTATTGTTTTATCCCAGTTGCCAATGACAGCACTCAAGAGATCCTTGTTCAGTGCCAAAAAATTAGTCATTGGACAAAGCAGACTTGCCAGAATGTTGCTTCTGAGCTGGAGTTGAAGTCATGGTGTAGGAAGAAGAGATTCAGGGGGGTTTAATTTGGTGTTATAGAAATGGTGGACATCCAGCTTGCTTTTGAGCAACTTTCCTGATTCACTTTGTCTAGTAACTTACAAGTTCATTTAGAGATTTGAAAGTAAGACATTATTATTTCCCATAATAATAAAAGAGTAACATGCTAGTTTGTTTCTTTTATGCTATTCTTTTACACTTGCTGCTAACACATCCTAATTATGAAACACCAAAAGTTCCGCAGGAAC